GCTATAGGTGTAGAGGACCCACTCACTGTAGATGTGTCACTAGAGCTGGGGGGGTCATGGAGGCATGGATGGGAAAGGGGCTCTAATTTGATTAAGATCTATTATATGAAATGCAAAATTTCAATAAAACTATTTTTTAAGTCAGATACCACTGAAATCCACAAAAATATTCTTGTGTTTCACAGTCATCTTTGTTGAATGATTTAGAATGTTCATTCCATTCCGTTCCCTACCGTTGTGGTGAACAGGACAAAAGAATCTTGGGGGTTTATCAGAGAAAATTTGGAGACTCTGACTCTAAAGTTCTTGCACATGTTGACTTACTGAAAATAATTTCTAAGATGTTGGTTTCATATTTCTGCAATTGTTGTTAAATGAGTTAAAATTATACCTTGCATTTGCTTTTCATTGCTTGCAATAAACTAGCTAAAAAGAGTCTTTTCATCATGAATGCTGAGGGATTTTATTTTGTCTTCAACTTAAGGGAACAATTTTAGCGGCCCTCATTTTCTAAATTTTCATAAAATATGTATGCACCATTCAGCCAAGTACTTTAGAGAAATTATATCTGATGAACATTAGACCATACATTGTATTCTAAAGAAATGATTTAATGTGTTTTTAAAATATCATATGCCTACCAAGTTTACATTTTCATTAACTGACCTGCATAGATAATAAATAAAATAATTCATCTTTCCTCTAAATGGTTATTTGTAAGAAGCTCAGAAGAGCTTTTGGCTAATTCTTTCGGAGAGGAGACAGTCATTGACCTGAGATTAGCTGAGTGGAGAAATGAAGGCTCTTACTTCAATGTTTCAATCCATGTTAAAAGTTTTTACTGCGTTGTTTTTACCTAAACCAATAACACTTTTCTTTCTCTTCCGATCACATGCTCGTATAATGCCTTATGTGTTCTCTAACTCTCTTCCATAGATTAATTTGTGTCATCTGAGACATACTGGAAAGCCATTAAATGAAATTGGCACTTTTGTATAATTAGTGTGCATCCCATAATATCTAGAAAAACTAGGGGAAATCTCAAAAAGCAAGCTAGGAAATGCACTTTGGTAAAATTGCAAAAGGTTAAATTCCTTACTATGCATATAAATCCAAGACTATTCTTCAACTTAAAACACTTCAAGTTGAAATGGTTTGTGTTCTTCCAGATGGAAAAGTCAAGACCCAGGGTATAAAGTTCCCTGACTCTTCTGTATTTGTCAACTACAGAATCACAAAGGAGTTCCTCTCAGAGCATATAGGAAAAAGAATATGCAGGAAAACAACAGTACAGCCTACCGGTGACAAGCAGCAGATGTTAATATACAAATATTAAGTATATAACTGTAAATAAGAGGTGAAGGTGTTAATATTAAACATATATTGTGATAGATGACGGGTGCCATAGTTTGGTTTCTTTTTCTGTGATGAAACACTGTGGGAGGCAAGGGTTTAAATCCCAATCACAGTTCATCCTTAAAGGAGGCCAGGGCAAGAACACAGGGCAGAAACCTGGAGGCAGGAACTGAAGCAAAGACCAGAGAGGAATGATTCATACTGGCTTGTTCCTCCAGCTTGTATTCAGCCTACTTTCTTATACAGCCCAGGCCCACCTGCCTAAGGGAGGCACCACCCACAATGGGCTGGGCCATCCCATATCATTCACTCAACAATCAAGAAAATGCCTAACATACTTGCCCACAGGTAAACTCAATAGAGGAAGTTCCTCAGTTGAGGTTCTCTCTTCCCAGATGTATCAAGTAGACATGTGAAGCTATCCAGCACAATAGATGATTTATAGATGATAGATGATTTATAAAATATAGCTGACATATAGGTAAATAGGAGGTAGAGGATAGATAGATGATAGATAGAAGATAGATAGATGATTGATAGATAGATGATAGGTGATAGATGATAGATAGATAGATAGATAGATAGATAGATAGATAGATAGATAGATGATAGATAGATAGATAGATAGATAGATAGATAGATAGCTATTTTACCTCCACAATGACAACACCTCCTGTGGTCATGAAATCTGTTACAATATGCTAACTTTGATCTTGATACTTAAAGTGATCCATCACCTTTCTTTAATCACATCCAAAGGTTTTGACTGGTCCTTCCCAAACTTGGCAGTTCCATCTATTGAGAGTTTTCTTTTGTGTTTTGTTTCTGTTTTGCAGGGCTGTGGATCAAACCTAAGGGCCTAGTGCATGCTAGGCAACTGCTATAGCACTGAGCTAAATTCACCAGTTCTCATCTGACAGGTAATCGCATTGGTTGTTCCAGGAGAAACTGTATTTCTGGATGTTTCATATTCCCAGCTACATAAAATACTTCTCTTAATCCTTCAGTAGTCTGAGCTATAATGCTTCAAGACTTATGTAAGCCTTTTTTTGACAAATTAAATCTATAATAACCTCCATATTCCATCCATTTCCAAATCTTCAGGAACTGAAACAGAGACCTTGGAGAAAAGTTGTTTATCTGCTTGCTCCCAAGGTCAACTTCAGCTATCTTTCTTATATAGCCCAGGCCCACCTGCCTAGGGATGGCAACACCCACAGTGGGCTGAGCTCTCCTACATCAATTAGAAATCAAGAAAATACTCCACAGGTATGCCCATAGGTCAATCGGTTAAAGGAAATTCCTCAATTGAGGTTCTCTCTCCTTAGGGGTGTCAAGATGACTACAGACTTTAGCCATCACACTAACTCAATGTATACTAAACTAGTAGATGAACAGGTAGGGAGATATCTATCATAGATGATAGATAGATAGATGATAGATAGATAGATAGGTGATAGATAGATGATAGATAGATAGATAGATAGATAGATGATAGATAGATAGATAGATAGATAGATAGATGGATGATGGATGGATGGTAGATTAGATGATTGATAGATGATAAATAGACAGACAGATAGATGGATATTAGATACTCAAATGAAGAGCTGATAGGGACGTGAAGGAATCATTTTTGCTAGTGTAATCAAAGGAATATCCTACAACAAAATGTATTTCATTCATTTAATTCATTTAGTATTTTTCAGCAACATTTCAGGCAGTGTTTGGCTTTGGGATATTCAGGTAGAAGGTTGCTGGCCCAGTCTTTATTTACAGGCAACTCACACTCAAGAGGAGAAGACCATGAGTAAGCCAATAGACTACACCGTGGTCTGGGTACCAGTGTCAGTTTAACAGTATTGCGACTGATGCTCTGCTTTTACTTCTACTGGCTTAGATTAGGAAGGCTATAAGTCATGTTGTCACTGCATTCTGAGCACCTCACTTTTATCAGGATTAAAGAAGGAAATAGTAACAAGTAACACCCAGACTTCACATTCCCTGGGTCTGATGAACAGAAACACAATAATTTTCATGATTTAAAAAGAAAATCAGAACCATATATTTTAATTAGTGCAGCTAAATATTAGCAAGCATTAACCACATCTTATCTAGTTTAAAATCCAATTCTTAATTTAGAAAAAGGGTAAAAGATAATCCAAATACCTAGTTAAAAGCAAATACCTCATTAAGCTTTTATTGTTATTGGCTGGTGATGACTATTTATTCTAGTCCTAGTTTGAACACCTCTCAAGTAACTACTCAACCATGATATCCACTTGTGCCTCTTCTTCTCCACTCTTACAAAGCTTCAACTTGCTTTGGATTTTAAGGTCATTTTTTTTTTTTCTTAAAAATGTGCATAGGCAACTTCTTCCAGTCTACTAGGGAAAAGACCACAGGCATTTCTCAGTTCAATTTACATCAATAAACATGGAGAAATGACCACTGAGCGCTTTCCAGAAACAAAGGTGAACGAATCAGCCTATTTCTTCAATGAGTTTATAATGTGTAACAGAGTTCCAAGAACTTTCAAAAGAGAGGCAACTGACAGGTCACAGAAAATTATCATTATGTGCCCAAATAGGCTTCCAAATTTTCTGTGTGCTGAGAATGATGCTTCATTAATTTACTCATCTACTCTTGTTCCAGCAGCTCAGCCAGAGGGGGAAAAATAGTTCTTTGATTGCAGTGTGTTGTCCCTGTCTCACAAAAGAGCCAAACACTCTTACAACAACAAAGAATTCATCTCTTTTTATCATCAAGCAAACTTCCTTTATCTTCCTTCTTCTATCAGGGGCTTTATATGCTCCCAGTGAATGCAAAAAACACCTCACTCTATCATAATCTGCCTCTTTCCTGGCCTCTGCCTTATAGAGGCTGAGCACCACAGCAGTTTATACACTTGTGTGTATATATTTGATATATAATATTATATATTATGATACATACAAGAATCATATATGTGCATGTATATACATACACTCCTATAACTCAAAATACAACTCCATGTATAAGCTGCTATATTCTTGAGAGCTCTAGATATTTCAGTCATCAAACAAAATAAAATAAATTAACTCTCTTGACTAGCTTCAAAGACAATGGAAAACTTCCATGTTATTTTATAGAACTCAGAACAGCTGACCTTCCTAAAACAAAGACCTCTAGACAGGCTGACTAAAACTCAGTATTTTTATACCACTCTTGCTTTATTATCTAGGTCTCCATGCTATTTAATGGACTAATTAATAGGACTGTCTCACCTTCTGAGGATTCTGAAATATACTTTCAAGGGGCTGGAGAGATGGTTCAGTGGTTAAGAGCTTTTACTGCTCTTGTAGAGGACCTCGGTTCAGCTCCCAACACCCTTTATTGCATGGTTCACAAATGCCTGTCACTTCAGCTCCAGGAGCTTCCACATCCTCTTCTGATCTCCAAAAGCACCTGCACACACGTCTTATAGATGGACAGATATGCACATAAATAAATGTTTTTATTTACTTTCAGTATTTTCATAAATTAATCATGCGTGTTTTACCTTGGAAATGGTTTGGGGATAATTCTAAAGAGCCTGTGCCTGCTTTATTTAAGAACTAGATAACCAAGCTTCAGAGACCATGCCTTTCGCTAAGGAAACATACCCAGATGCTGTCTTCCTGTCGATACTGCTTCCAGTTCCTGCCACTGTCACTGAACATCAGGAGGTAGCTGGTCACCCAGTTGGAGCTCCCATATCCACCTTGGGTAGCCACTGATGTGATTTCCATTCTCTCTCCAAGGTCAATCTGTAGCCACTGGTATTTGTTGGACACGAGTGGAGACCAGCCACCTGCTCCTTTTGCAAAAACAGAAGAACATTGGGAAAGAACTCATTAAAAATCCGTGAGTGGAGTCGGAAAGCTGGTGAGACTATATGGAATTAGGAAAGCTAAAATTCCAGGAGATGAGACTTCTTGTAATTACAGTAAAACATAGAAAAGCAAACATATAGTACAAGAGTTTATCTAGACCAGGCTGGCCTCGATCTCACAGCGATCCACCTACCTCTGCCTCCCGAATGCTTGGATTAAAGACATGCACCAGTATGCCCTGTTAAACTGCAGTTTTTTGTTGGTATAGTTTAACTTTGAATTTCTCTATATTTGCCCTTGAATAATAACTTGGGTGCTGAGACAAACACTTGCTGTACAGATGTGAGGGCTTGAGTTCCAATCCCCAAACCTCACATAAAGCCAGGCTTAATAGTACAAGACTGTAATCTCAGTGCTCCCAAGACAATATTAGAAGGCAGAAACAGGAGAGTCCCCAACAGGGTGAGGGGTGGCTAGCATGTTGTATGCACCAGTGAGCAACAGAGACCCTGCCTCAGATAAGATGGAAGGTGAGAACCAACACCCAAAGTTATCATCTAGCCTTCACATGTGTACCATGGCATACACAACACCACACACACACGCACACACGTGCACACACACACACATGCACACACAATTAATTAATTAATTAATTTAAGAAAAAACATGCCTTGGGAGTGGAGTTCCTTTGGTCCATAACTCCAGTAGCCTTGTTTAGACTAGCGAGCTTGTTGGGCTCTGGTCCAACTTGGGGTGGCTTGGTACCTTATGTTTAGCATTGCTGTGTGCTGTCCACAAGGGACACCTCTTGTTCTTCCAACCTGTTATCGGCATGCAAATTGTTCCTGAAAGATCTACAGCACGTCTTATATAGTACTGGGCCACAAACAGCTCTGAGGATTCTTGAGCCCTGTGTGGGAACTGTTGCTGTTGCATTATTTTTTTTAAACTATTTATTTATTTATTTATTTATTTATTTATTTATTTATTTAAAAAATTTTATGTGTATGAGTATATTGCCTGCATGTGTGTAAGTGCACCCATGTTGTGCAGTGCCCGTGAAGGACCAAAGAGGTGTCGGATCCCCTAGAACTAGAGTTAAGGACAGTTGTTAACCACCATGTGGGTGTTGGGATTTGAACCCGGGTCTTCTGCGAGAACAGCCAGTGCTCTGAACTGCTGAGCCATCTCTCCAGCCCCTGTTGCATTGTTTTGGTTTCTGAGCCTGCACTTCCTCCATGATTCACTTCTCAGGATGCAATCAGACAACATCCATCTCTCCCACTTACTCATCTACAGTAGGACTTTGTGTTTGGTGAACAAGTGAGTGCTTAGCAGCAGACACTCTGTGAAGCACTATTACTTACATCTCAAAGGAAACCATTTAGTAGAAGATGAGTCAGACACAGAGAGTTTGAACATCCTGTCCTTGCCAGAGCAGGGAAGAGGCTCTGTGCTCTCAGCAAGAACATAGTGGCACCTCTCAGATTGTCATATATGAAAGTAAGAATTTGTAGTTCCCAGAACATGGTGGGAAAGATCAGCAATCTTTAGCTGCAAGGTAGTAACAGCAACTTCCCACCCAGCTTAACCTCACATAAAGCCAGGACCATCTCTTTGTAATGCAGGCACATGAATGGGTGAGTTTTTCCTTCTGCCACCCTATATAATCTCACTTCTTCACCTCAAGGCCTATTAAAAGCTTGGACATTGAGGCGGGCTGAAGAGATGGCTCAGCGGTTAAGAGGACCGATTGTTCTTTCCAAGGATCCAGGTTCAATGCCCAGCAGCCACTAGGCTACTAAGAACATCTTTAATTCCTGTTCCAGGGGATCTGATGCCCTCTTCTGGCCTCTACAAGAAGTGCATGCACGTGGTTCACTTACATACATGTAGGCAAAAGACTCATACACATAAATTAAAATAAATACTGCGGGGTGTTTATCACTGCATCGGACACGTATATCAAATCTCTGCTTTCTGAGGTTCAGTAATCATTGTAGCAAAGGAGGTGGAAAAATTGTTAAAGCCATAGATGGTGGATGATCACAAGGAAACACAGTTTTCCAGGCAGCTGGGCATGTATTCATATGAACTCATAGCGATGGTGACAACATGCACAAAACCCACATAAGCCAAAGTCAGACAGAATCAGCATAGAAGTAGGGAAGTGGATAAGAATCCCAACCTTAGCTGAGGAACTACTGCCTACAGATAACAGCTGGTAAAGGGAGAGTAAGTTTTCTCTGGGCTGATGTTGCATAGGACTGTCTTCTGATGGGCAGACTGGTTGCACCTGCTTGGCTAGAATCATCATAGCCAAATTTGTTGACTGTTACACTCTGCAAGAAGGGAGGGGGAGGGAGAGTTGGCCACACCTCTCAACCAACCAGGAGGCCCAAGTTGCTCAAGGGGTGGGGCTAAAGATATATAAACTGAGGGAGCCATAGGGAGGCTCCCGACTACTGTAGGGAAATCACTATCTATTCCTGGATGGAGACTTTCCAGTGCTTTGTAAGTAAGCCCAATAAACTCACTGGTTTACCAGACTATAGTCTGGCAACATTATACCTAGGTTTGTCAGAGTCCAAGAGAGGAGGGGCCAGACATCATTTGGTTTGCGCCTTCCAGCTGGATAAGTTAACCAGGCTTCAGTGGATGGACTCACATAGAGGGCATTTGAGGACACTCAATAGGCCTTTGTGTGTGTGTGTGTGTGTGTGTGTGTGTGTGTGTGTGTGTGTGTGTGTGTCTGAGTGTGTGTGTGTGTGTATTTGTGTAGATATATATTCATATAAATACACATATACATATATATAATAGAGTATATGAAACCAGGTGGGGGTAGTAAAGGAGATGCAGATAGAGGAGGGCATCTAAATATGATCAACTTGTATGAATTTACAAAATTCAATAAAAACCAAAAATAAATAAATAAATAATTTTTTTTAAAAAAGCAAATAAAAACAACTTAGAAGTTGAAAGTCTTCAGGGGTCAGATGTTAAGTACCCCAAGTCCTCTTATTACTGTGATTGCATCTTTCTGAAGTTTTATCATTTTGCATAGTGAAAAGTTAGGAAACAGGGTCCTCCCAGGCAGCTCCCATCTCAGCTTGGAAGTGTTACACTTGGAGTTTCTCCTCTATCAGCCAACACCACAGAGATGTTGCTGGCTGTTTTGCTTCTTGCTCTTTCTAGTTAATTTTAATGATCTGAAACTGGTAATGAGGGCTTGTTGGAAGGCATTAAAGCTGAAATATCATGGCATTTCTGCAGCATTTCAGCACACCTTTATAGACCAGTATTTAAAAAGCAAACAGGAGAGACACCCAACAAGGAAGGCAGAATCAGTGTGATCGAGAGGGTTAAAATTGGATCATCAATTCTCATCAGGGGAAAGATGAACCCATGACTGACCACTCCTTCTTCCCAGCAGAGCTCACAGTTACAGCCCCACTAGCCAACTTGAAACATTGGCAGTTAATTGACCTTGAACATTTCAATTTCTTACCTGTGGTGAAAAGGTACTACTGGTATGCAAATTAAGCTATCTCATTAACAAGGAACACTGATAAAGTAATGGAAACGCTGATGCTCCCAGGCTTTACCAAGTAATTTCAGTAGGCTAAGTCAGCCACAGGGAATCTGAAGAGTCCCGTTGGGTTTTAAACTGTGCGGCTCTGCAAAGGTCCGTGATGGAATGTGCTTGTTAGAAATTTAAGAAAAATGTTTAGCAGAGGGAAAAGTATAAGAGGGATATGGACAGATCTCTGGCTGATCTCGGCAGGCTTTGATGACAGGTGGGGACAGAGGTGTTTTGAGATACAATTGCCAACTCATTTGAGGGCTATACTACCCTTTGGTCATTGCCAATCTAACCTCCAGGAGACACACCATCAGCGTATTTATTTTTTAATTGAGAAAGGGATGGTTAGCTCTAGCAAACTGTGAACTCTGAATTACTATAAATAAAACACTGTAATGAATTCTTTATTTTGTTTATTAACTAAACCTTTCAGTTGCTAGTCAAGTGTTATTTGTCCTTAATGTGCTTTTAATATGCTAATATATTCAACATCACAGTAAACCAATACCTAGGAAACTAAAGACCATTTTTTCCTAATTCCATCTATTCTGTGCTTACTGATAGTGAACTTACCAAACACTCTTAACCCTTCAGTGCATTCTCTCCCTGTATCACAGGCTTCCTTCCTTAAGCCACACATCTTTTACTTCTGCTCTAACCCTCTTATTAGGACTATTACAATAGAGTGCCATGTATTTACTATCTCATTTTGTTATTTATATTTTATATGTATAAGTGTTTTTGCCTGCATGTATGTGGGTGCTCAACCTGTATGCAATGCTCACAGAGGCCAGAAGAGGGTATTGGATCCCCTGGTACTGGAGTTACAGACAGTTGTTAGCTACCATGTGGGTGCTGGGAACTGAACCCAGGTCCTCTGCAGTATTCTTGGTGTCCTTAACCATTAAGCCACCTCTCTAGCCCCTACTATTTTGTTTATGTACATGTGTGTACCTGAGTGCATGTATGTTCACCACATGTGTATAGATGCCCAAGGAGGCCAGAAGAGGGTGTTGGAAACCCTGGAGCTGGCGTTATAAGTGGTTGTAAGCAGCCCAATGTTGGTTCATGGAATGGAACCTGGTTCATCTACAAGAATAACAAGTGCTCTGAGTTACTAAGCCATTTCTCCAGCCCCTAGAAACATTTATTGGCTTCATATTGCAGTCTGGGAACTCACATTTAAAGATCCCTCTTTTCCCCCCATTTATAAGATTCCTAAATATTATAGTATTGCTATGAAAATTAAATATTTTTTAAAATATATGAAGTGCCTATTGATTTCCCCCATGATCAGTAATCATTTTATAGTGGCTGTAACTGAAAAAAATATTTTTTAAAAAGAAACTTAGTAGGGCTGGAGAGATGGCTCCGCAGTTAAGAGTACTGGCTGCT